TGGGACAAGTCGCATACGTCGCATTCGTTGCATATGTCGCATGCGATGCATGCGACACATATAACGAATGCGACCTACGTACAACCAATTAAAAAAAAGAATAACAAAAATTTATTTAAAAAAGGCTAATGTCAAGTAATTTAAATTCTTATTTTGTCTATATAATGGTTAAATAATATTCAATAATTACACCCTAACTAAATCGATATTTTCGATTGAATGCTCTAATGTTTTTTAATCGCATATACGTATATATTTAAATAAAGCTATACCGATAATGTAATGCCCCACATACTGTATAAAGAATAATAATATGATTGCTCATCTTCCCAGTGACGTATGAAAATTTTATATAATTGAAGCACCTTAATTTGGAAAGATATATAATATTAAAAACTTGAAATATTATTCATTACAAAGATCGATTCTTTAAACATCATCGTATTAATGATCTGTATCGCCCTTAAATTTATGCATAGTGACATGAACAAATATGCATGAGACCTCTACCATTATATAAATTAGGTTAATCGCAATTGCTGGATTGTTTAATATTGTTCCCATTGTACAACGTAATACGTGTCAGTTAAAAGTAAGTCCATTGTGTAACTGTAAACTGTAAACGGAGATCTGGGTTGAAAGAAGTTGAGTTATGACGGTGTAGACATTCTTTATTTTGTAAATGGTCGAAAAGAGCAAAAATAATGATATTTTAATAGATAATGATTTTTTAGTTGGATACTCATTTCTTATTTCTGGATGAAAAAAATTACGTTCGCTTAAAAATTTTATCGATAGGCTTATTTAATGTGAATTTTTTGATCGGATTAAAGTTTTAATAAATAATTTAGAATATTTAGGTATTATACTTATTAATCATCTATCAATTATGTCTTTTAATATTCGTGAAATCACGACCCTTGCTTTTAGCGCTAGTGCCCTCATAGCTGTTACTTTCCCAGCACTTTTCTACCTTAATAAATATGTCACATTAAAATGTATAGATAAAAGAATTACATCTTTGGAAGACCAAAGATATTCAAAACTTTTATTGCTTATCGAGATTCCAAAACAAGTCCGTCACAAAGCTGAATTATTAAGAGAACATGCTATAAAGTTAACACAAGAAAAACTAATGTTTGAAAAGGATGCAAATAAAACTATTCCTAGACTACAAGTATTAATGTGGTTTGAAAGATGTAAAGAAGATGGTGATGTGAATAAGGAAATAGTGGAGGAATATTTAGAGGCAATTAATGATATAAGAGAGCAGATCTGGAGAATGGATGAAGAAATCAGGAGGATGCGAATGGAGTCGAATGAGCTGATGAAAAGTGGCGCTAGAAGAGCGCGAGATGTAGTAAAAGCTGAAATTAAGGAAATCGAGCGACAAATGGTTGTTGAGCGGAATATATTTACGGCATTTTTCCGTAATTTAGTAATTACTCCCGGGTATTACCTGGTTATATCTACCCGGGTAATACCCGACCCGGGTACAAACACTATTTATGACGATCAGCAACCTTCTCTTTAATACGACGAAAGAAATTTCAGATATGAATGAAACTTCGCCTGGTACAAAAGCATTTTAAGACCAAAGGCTTGATCTAAAAGAATTCTGGAACCAAAGGCTTGGTTCAAATCTCAAAGATGGCAATTCGAAAGGGCAATTTTAATGTTGGATTAAGCTATGACGAAATGTAGGCACAAATAAGGATGAAAAAGGCTTTGAGCGATATTTGAAACTGCTGAAGACGGAAGTTCGAATAGATAATTTAGGTATTTTGACTGTATTT